CGTGACAAAGTCACAAACAAGTTCATTATTTTGCCCCACAAAACTCCACAAACAGATTTCAATTGTAATAATAAATAGATATAAAAAGAGAGATGTTTCATTGATACAATCGATTGAAAATATATACAAAATTTTGGATTAGCGACTTTTTTTTTAATGGGTGAAAATGCCATGGAAACACCTGCGCTATCGGTATACACTGGCGGGGCACCAGTGAGAGATGATAGGTGAGGATGAAAAGGCAGGTCAGATAGCTCGTGACCAATTCAACGATAAATTAGTCATGTTAGTTTCCAGGGGGCATCGCATGGTGGTCGACCTGATACCCTATATTGACAGCAATAGAGACTAACTGCCCATTGCTAAGAATTCCTTGTCCCTTGGATTAGCGACTTTTTTTTTATACAACTTAGAATGGCAAACAAGCTGACGGCCCACCTCATGGAAAGTGGTAACCGTCGCCCGGGGTATCCCCCGTGCGTTGCTATTCCTGAGGACTCAGGTGTTAATTCTCTGTACCCAGTAAATTCACTTATTAACACAATTATATCACTGCCATATCCCACCTTTTAAACCGAAACACAGCCATGCAAACACAACAGCTTGGGAGGAATAGGGATTGTTAGTAATGAGGATTAGTAGCCCCATTGCTAGCAATATACCCTGTCAGGTCGACCTCCTCGTGGTTCCCTCTGGAAACCATCGTGATTGATTTATTATTAGATTCGTCACGGTAGACTAACTGACCTGCTTCATCCTCACCTATCATCCCTCACTGGTGCCCCGCCGGTGTATATCGATAGCGCAGGCGGGGTTACCATTCCATTATCGTCCATTAAAAAAAACACAACTGCTTCACGGTAGAAACACGAATGGGACAGTGGTGCCCAAGCAAACGACTTTCGTACAAAGTCTCCCTCTAGTAGGTAATAGACATAAAAAAATACAATTGAATTGAAAACCTCCAATTTGAAGTCGGTTAAAAATATATCTTAAGTAATACGCATCGATTATTCTAGAACAATAATGATAAGAAGGAAAGCAATAAAGCAGTACAATAGGCCATTATCCTGTTTACAATGTGATTAATCGGGGGACATTCAACCCCGGGCCAGCCTGAATCGGCTGAGCTGTGACGTCACTTCACTAAGACGGCTTGATTTATACAGGGTGGAATCACTATCGTTAGCGGTACGTGAAGCGTATTATTTATCTGTGGTAACACGTCTTTTTTATACAACTTAGAACTTGGACTCAGGTGTTATTCCTCTGTACCCTGTAAATTCACGCCATATCCCACCCTTCAAACCGAAACACAGCCATGCAAACACAACTGCTTCACGGTTGAAACACGAATGGGACAGAGGTGCCCAAGCAAACGACTTTTGTACAAAGTCTCCCTCTGGTAAATATCTAATAATAATAGTTTATCTAAATGATCGCATTATTTCACGTCTCTTATAAACAATAATGTTTAATCACTTAAACAGTGTTTGGTTAAACACTGTTTAAGTTATTTTGTTAAGCAATGTTTTATTTTTTGTGGTAACACCGCACACGTGGAGGTGCTAGCTTCGTCGTTCACACGTCGTTCTCTGTTAATGTGATTGCCCATCAATTAGTGTGTTGACAGGTAATAATTTGTTTAATAACTTTAATGCATTAAACATACATACATACATATAACAAACGTGCAATCTTACTAATACTGTAAAGTAACAGTATAACTCGCCATTTTGCCTGTATAAATGCTAACAAGTACATCTTGCTCCGCAATTTAAAAATCATGATTGTTCTACCAGGAAGCAAACTATTTAAAAAATATATATAAACACTAATGATTAAATAAGTGTGCAACTCTCAAAGGTAAAGCAGTGTATTATACCATAATTTCTTTACTACGACTGTACTTGTATGATTTTTATTACCAGTCATTTTTGCTACTAACCAGTTTTGCTTCCTGCTCTTTTTGCTGTCAGTTCTTTTTATTACCAATCATTTATGCCACCAGTCCTTTTTATTACCAATCATTTATGCTATCAGGCCTTTTTATTACCAATCATTTATGCTATCAGTTCTTTTTATTACAATAAAATACAATAAAGATTTCACAATACAATACATATATTATATATACACAATCAAATATATACATAAACATACGTATACTTAATAGCACACATATAACAGAAGAAAATGACGAAGGAAAACGAAGAGAGAACACAGGAAAATAGTACTAAAGGGAGAGATAGTAGGATTTAACAGAGTTTTTGAAGCTAGTAAGAGTTTAAGCGCACCGAATAGAGGTAGGTAGTGAGTTCCACAGGCGAACTGCCAATCCTTTTTATTACCAATAATTTTTGTTACCATTCCTTTTTATTACCAATCATTTATGCTACCAGCTATTTTTGCTACCAATCATTTATGTCGCTACCGGAGGGAAAGTGATTGTCAGTAACGAAAACTTGCGGTCCCATTGTTAGTAATATGCCTTGTTAGGTCGACCTCGACGCAGATAGACCCCTAGAAACCATTAGTGATTAATCCCCAATAAATTCATCACGATGTGTCAACTGACCTACTTTCATCCTCACTGGTGTCTCGCTAACGTGTACCGATAAGAAAGGCAAGCTTAGCATTTCATTATCATACATTTAAAGAAGACCTACGATTAAACTGTACTTAAGTAAATTAACTTTATCCAAAATTTAAATCCTTAAAAAAACAACATCCTTAGTACTTGCTGAGATATGGCGCTGTAAAAGACGGCTTGTAATACCTTGCCGTGTGGTCCCGGCATAGAATAAACCACCCTTCCCTTTCCTGTGGGTGTAGTAAAAGGCGAATAAGGGAAGGCGAGAGATGTGCAGCAGCGTCCCTTTTAAAACATCTCCAAAGCCTAACTGCAGTTGCCAATCCGCTTGCCAAGCGTGGCAACTACTGGCAACTGGCAAACACCCCAAAAGGGGAGGTGTATATTCAGCAATGGACAGTTAGAGGCTGGTGTGATGATGAATATCTGCTTTTACAGAATCCTAAATAGACTAGTACACGGGGGAGAAAGGGATTGTTAGTAATTTATTTATTTATTACATCCACTGGGTGAGCCTTACAGTCTTCCAATACGTTCATCCAGGAAAGCATGAGTACAATAACATATAAAATGGAATATTACATAAAAATAACAAAAATAATATAAAAAGATTTAACTCAAACAAAAAACGTCTGAACACAAATATTCTGTGGTCCCTCGACGAAACTCCAGCAAGTTGGGGACAAATACATCCAATTGCGGATACTGGCTCAAAATATCATTGAGTAGTTTCAATGCAAGAGATAGGGGAGCTTGCTTAGCCAATCATGAGGTTGCTTGCTTAGCCAATCAGGTCTAATTGATCCATTGCCAGCAATACACCCTGTCAGGTCTATTTTCACGCGATTCTCCTGGATCGTGGTTAAATCTAGTGGATTACGTCACGATGGGCTAACTGACCTGCTTTCGTCGTCACCTATCATCCCTCACTGGTGCCCCGCTAGCATATAGCAATAGTGCAGGCGTTCCATTATCACTCATTAAAAAAATCGCCATGTCAGCCCCGGCATAAAATGGGCCACCCATTCCTTTCCCGTGGGTGTCGTAAGAGATGACTAAGGGAGCTTATGGTGGAGGGATGGGCAGCAGCGCGCCTCTTAAAACATCTTCAAAAACCTAACTGCCTTTGCCAATTCACCTGCCAAGCGTGCCAACTACTGGCAAAACTCCCCTTATGGAGAAGACTTATGTATGTACAGGAGCGGAAAGTTAACGGCTGAAATAAAAATAAAAAAAAAATAGACCAATACACAAAATGACTATAGAGTTTGCGACCGACGCGACACGACCGGGGAGTAACGTGGCCATTGTACAACGAGATTAATGCGACACATTAATATCAAACTTTCACCGCAAAATGTAAATGCGTTAACTTTACCACAGCATTTTAGTTAAATTGTGAAACGCCCGAACTCACTATGAACGTATTGAATACCACATTAATTTTGTTATAATTAAATTTTAAATGTTAAGAAACAAATAGGTTTATAAATACTGCGTTTATAATTTTTTTCTCAAACATGCTTGGAAATGTGAGCATTATTTTGACAATCTTCTTCGAGATAAATCAAAATTGCCGTACTGGCCAGATACTTGCGGGCAGCGGCCGGCAAAAGTTGTATGAAAATCCATATCTGTCGTGTTTTGCGGCCAGATAAATTACTATGTAAACTCATATCTGTCCTGTAATTTAAAAATGTAATGACCTTTTACTTCGAAACATGGCTACCAAGGAGGTAACTAATACAAGGTTTTATTTAAATTTCGAACTGGCTTGCAATAAGAAAGCTGTTTATTGAAAAAAAAAAAAACAAGGGAACATTATGGCGCGTGAAAAATTATTATTGTTCGTTATTCGTCATTGAATTTAAAAAGTAAAATTGTGTTTTTGATTTCCGCGCATTGTTTGAGAAAAGTACTATAAAAGCCTTGGCCACAACTAGGCATTGATGGACTCACGTATGTGTGCCTCGGTTACACCTCGGCCCACATTTGTACGTTCGTCCATCAATGCCTTAGTTGCTGGCCGCTGCAGTAATGTACTATTATAAGGCATGGAGTTTTTAATGCACGCAGTCGACGTTGGGAAATTGTAGTTTTACTGTGTATTAACGACTATCTCTTTCTATTAAAAGATGTCTGTTAGAGACTGCCACAGCGTTAAGACCGCCTTTTGTACCTTCATGTATATATTTTGAATATCCATTGAATTATTTAATTATCAATGTATATTTTTATATTTGTAATGCGATAAAATAAGCAAATGTAAACTGTTTATTTATTTAACTCATAAATAAATAGTTTACAATTACTAAAAATGGTATTTATTTATTTATTCTTTATTGATTAAGTCACAAAAAAATATTGCATTCTCTCTCTGTCAATCTTTGTAGAAACAGAAACATAATTATGTGACCAAATATTGGAAAATATTTAATATTTGTGAGTAAACAGTTACGGACGAATCTATTTGTTATATCACTCATTCGTATCGTTAACCTACACAATGTACTTAGTTTAATTAAATTGTCATACGATACATCTGTTAACTACGATACGATTTTGATAATTCTTTTTGTAATGAACAATTGTGTTGATCCCATATTAATTTGATCACAAATAATATATATATTCTTTATTGCACTAAAACATACAGTAACAACAATAAGTTAATAACAATGTTAGCAAAGTTAGTTCCAGTTAACCTAACACAGTGGCATGGGGGGAAGGGATTGTTGGAGACTGAGAATCCCACTGCTAGCAATATACCCAACCAGGTCGACCTCGCGGTTCCCCCTGGAAACTATCATGGTTAATTCCTGATGAATTCATCATGATGGGCTAACTGGCCTGTTTTCATTCTCATCTATCACCCTTCACTGGTGCTCCGCCAGCGTATCCCGTTAGCGCAGGCGGGGTTACCATACCGTTATCACCCATAAAAAAAAAAAAACAGTGGCATAAGAAATAGTATGATTTGCACAAATAATGTCACTATTTGTGCAAAACCAAATCCTTTTCTCCATTTTCTTTGTACACAAATAATTAAAGATACACACTACACAGAAACAAACTTCAATTGTTACAAAACCAGTTATTTTGATCTAAAAACTAAACTACTGAACTGTTTTTGATAAAATTTCAAAGTAATTAATCTGTAGGTATATTGTTTCAGATAAAAAAAGAATTCTCCAAATCGGTTTAGAATAGACAGAGTTATGAGGTAAAAAAACATAAAAGAAATACAACCAAGTAAAGAAAGTTCCTTCTTTTTGAAGTCAATTGAAAATTTACAAAGACCTCAATTTCCATTTTCCATAATTATCTTGTATCTTCAAAACTGTATCGTAATAAATGTTCATTCACCTTAGGAAACACAGATATACTAGTGTATCGGCTGTACGTCACATCTAGATGATTCCAATAAGGGTCTTCAACTAAAAAGGATTCTACAACGTTGGGCAACCTCTTTGCTAACCATTCCACATCTTTAGTGTCCACTAATCTATCGTTTTTACCATAAATTATCACCACAGGAACAGAGACCGCACTTAAATTGTACAATGGGGGATCCTCGCTACCATATACCCTCATATTATCAACACCATAGTTAAATTTCCCAAAATCCTCACTGATCATGCTCTGTCCGTATCGAGCCATGTTGTGCACAGACGTTCCAGCAGGAAAATGCCCAAACATCGAGCGAGCCGTGTGTTCTGCTACAGAATTCGGGTGGTACGCATCTAAGATCGATTGGCCACTGTTGCAAATCATTTCTGTAATCCAATTTAGCTCACAGAAGAAGGCCAAGAATTCCTGACTGATAGATCCTTTCGCGAAGATCTCGTACATACCATATTTTGTCAATAAGTGTTCTAACCTCAAAATAGCATCAGTTAGAAATCTAAACAGGATTGATTTGGTATTGATCTGCCTCGTAGCGGGTGCTAGAGCTATCAACACATTCACTTTATCACAGTATCCTGGCCTTTCGGAGCACATCACGAAAAACGTTCCTGCTCCTTGGGAGTAGCCTATGTAATTCACCTTTTCCGCTCCAGTGTAATTCAAGACATAATCGATCGTAGCAGGCACATCATAGAATCCAATTTCATCTATCGAGAAATGCCAAAACTGTGAACTGTTCGGGGCCAGTTTCAAATGACGTCTCGAATAATAATTCCCTCTGCAATTAGCTACCCACAAGTCATAACAGGCGTCAGAGATGAGATAAGCCAGTGCGGCTCCGGGACCAGCATCCAGCCAAGAGTCTGAGCTCTGCAGAAGTCCATGCATCAATATTACGGGCGGTGATCGTCTTCTCCCGTCGCAGTTTCTGCCTTGGCTCACTCTGAAGACCTTGAGCAAGTATCCGTCTTCTGTTACCACTTGATGCTCCTGCGATTGGTATCCATATTTGGTTGCTAACTCCGTGAAGTTTAGCGAGGAATCTCTGGAGTAGCTCAAATAATGTTTGTCTTCGCTTTTAATGGTAAAAGGTCGTATTCTTATAATCATAGCGTGTAATAAAATTATAAATGAAAATATAAGCAGGAAACTGACTGTATGTCCATTAAATGACATTGTATTAACTGATGATGCTATAGTGCAATGTATATATAAACATAATGCTTTTGTATATGTGTGTGTGTCTGATTAACTCGTTATATACAAGTCTAATATAAATATACGCGTAGATAGACATATGTTTGTCGTGTCTATTTGAGAGACTTGATTTGGGAATAATCTATATATGTATATATACGTATTTTTTAATTATATTTTTTAATTTATAATTATACCATGAATATGTAAATTAATTAAGAAATTATAAAATAATAATATGTTAATAATATTTTTTGGTTATTTTTTATTTTATATTAAATAGGATATTATGATACTGTAAAAGAGATACACAAACGGACTTACCCTCAGTCCGAAATGAGTCCTAAAGTTACTTCTTTCAAACAACATCACGAATTTGGAATGAAGAATAGAGTATGTGATGTATGGAGACATAAAGAAAGGGAGGTTGAATTAATTATAATTTTTTTTATTGGATGATAATGGAATGGTAACCCCGCTCGCGCTATCGGTATACACCGGCGGGGCACCAGTGAAGGATGATAGGTGAGTATGAAGCAGATCAGTTAGCCCATCGTGACGAATTCAACAAGAATTGTTCACGATGGTTTCCAGGGGAAACCACGTGGAGGTCGACTTAATAAGGCACATTGCTAGCAGTGGGACTGTCGAACTCCATTACTAACAATTCCTTTCCCCCCAATTAATTATAGTTAGGTTTATAAAAAAACATATGAGCTAAAGCTGTTGATTTTGTAACATATAAATAAATAAATACATTACATGAAACTGTGTGTAAGTCCTTATTGATATTACTAAATGTGAATATTAATTTGTTTGTTAACTTTAAGCACTTTCATCGCTTAATTAATCACCACAAAATTTGGTATATACCTTCCACCTGTATACCTATCACCTGATGGAAAGAAGCCTTCTTCAACTCAAATAGAATTTGAGTTGAAGAAGGCTTCTTTCCATCGTGGTCATTCACTATAACGTCATGCGGCCGAAGCCGTGAATAAAGACTAGTTATTTGTACAATGTAAATGTACTTCCTGGTTTCATTGTCAATCATATTGTTTACTTCGGAAAAAAAAATAAACAAATATACATTTATATTGCATTTTGAATAATTTAAGATTTTGTTTCATAGAAAAAAAAAAAACATTGCCGTCAATCGTGCTACATACATAAGCAGTTATTTGGAATTAAAAACTTAATTACTGATTTTGAAAAATATTTTGGAATCAAACGGAAATTATATACTGACAGCTAAAACAAAGGTATTTTCCAAATCAATTTACAAGTTATGGAATTATGAAGTAACAAACACAAAAAAAAATTACAACCGAATCGAGAACCTACTCCTTTTTTGAAGGAGGTTGAAAAATATACACAACTTTTATGCAACTTAGAATGGCATACAAGCTCACCTGATGGAAATTGACAACCGTTGCCTATAAACATAAGCAGTACCATGTACCATGCACATAACAGAGTATACTGTTTCACCAATGATACCCCCCATGCGTTGCCATTCCTGAGGACTCGGGTGTTATTCCTCTGTACCCTGTAAATTTACGCCATATACCACCCTTTAAACCGAAACATAGCCATGCAAACACAACTGCTTTATGGTTAAAACACGAATGGGGCAGAGGTATCCAAACAATCGACTTTTGTACAAAGTCTCCGTAACTAGACATAACTAGACACTTTGAGATCCTTGCAGAATATTGCTTAAATTTTTTTAAGCAACTTAGAATAGCAAACTGTCTGTCCACGGCGACTGAAAGTGCTAATCGTCGCCTGTAAACGTAACAGTATCATGGATTTGACAGAGTACACTGTGTCGCCCATGACACCCCTTACGCTTTGTCATTGCTGAAGACTAAAGTGGTATGCCTCATTTTATTTGCAGGATGTTTTAAACTAATTAGTAAGTAATTATAAGTAGTATGTAATTACTAAATAGTAATATTAAAATTGTATAGATCCATTTTTTTAACGCACCACCTACCTGTTTAATTTTTTTATGGGTGAAAATGGTATTGTAATCCCCGCCTGCGCTAACGGGATACGCTGACGGAGCACCAGTGAAGGGTGACAGATGAGAATGAAAACAGGCCAGTTAGCCCATCATGATGAATTCATCGGGAATTACCCATTATAGTTTCCAGGGGGAACCGCGAGGAGGTCGACCTGGTTGGGTATATTGCTAGCAATGGGATTGTCAGTCTCCATTATTAACAATCCCTTCCCCCCCCACCTACCTGTTTAAACTTGCATTCTACCCAAAGGTCGTCTGTGAAAGATTGCTTAGCAATAAGAGCGTCTTTTGTACTATACAATACTTATTGAAAATTCTTCAACAAGTTCTGTAATGTAGGTGCAATAAAGTGTTAAATAAATAAACTGTAAAACGAGACTGCAACCATTGTCGTTTTTGCTTGTTTTATTCGTGTTAGTACCTCACATATTAATTTATTTTTAAATTTATATGAGAAGGAAGCACCACCCAGAACACCAGACTCGAGCCATTTCGGACAAGTTTTGACCATCTTGATAGATCATCTTGGTGAATTATTTTTTTATTTTTTTTTTTTATGATGGGCCAACTGACCTGCTTTCATCCTCACCTATCATCCCTCACTGGTACCCCGCCAGCGTATACCGATAGCGCAGGCGGGGTTACCATTCCATTATCACCCATTGAAATAAAGCTTAAACTTTAAAATTTATACGGAAATGAAAAAAAAACGTGTTTTATACGGACAAAGCCCCAGGGAACAGTTAGTGAAGTGAATTAATAGGTATTCTGTTGTAATAATTATTGTAATAGAGAGTATTGTAGTAAATATACAATGCACTATGATAATTGCCTCAGATTATTGCACGCTGCAAATTGTCAGTGAAATAAATCCGTGATATAATTATAGCTGCAGTAGGTACGTAGTTTATTAACTGACACGCGGAAAGTCAAGTTCAAGCGATAATAACATTATACTAATTGTTTCCTGCAGTTTTGCTCGAATGAACCTTGATAATATTGTAAATACGAGTATAAAAGGTCAGAAAAAACTTTTTTTTTTATATACAACTTAGAATGGCAAACAAACTGACGGCCCACCTGATGGAATGTGGTAACCGTCGCCTATAGACATGAGCAGTACCGTGGACATAACAGAGTATACTGTTTCGCCCATGATACCCCCCATGCGTTGCCATTCCTGAGGACTCGGATGTTATTCCTCCGTACCCAGTAAATTCACGCCATATCCCACCCTCCAAACCGAAACACAGCCATGCAAACACAACTGCTTCACGGTTGAAACACGAATGGGACAGAGGTACTCAAGCAATCGACTTGTGTACAAAGTCTCCCTTTTAAAAATAAAAATTATTTCTATTTTATTTTACTCTGTTTTATTCTTTTCTATTTTATATCTTTTATACTATACTGCGAGTATACACCAGAGGGAGACTTTGTACACAAGTAGTTTGCTTGGGCACCTTTGTCCCATTCGTATTTCTATCGTGAAGCAGTTGTGTTTGCATGGCTGTGTTTCGGTTTGAAGGGTGGGATATGGCGTGAATTTACAGGGTACAGAGGAATAACACCTGAATCCTCAGGAATGACAACGCATGGGGGGTATCATGGGTGAAACAGTATACCCTGTTATGTCCATGGTACTGCTCATGTTTATAGGCGACGGTTACAACTTTCCATCAGGTGGGCCATCAGTTTATTTGCCATTCTAAGTTGTATATAAAAAAAAAAAATCCGACCAACAGTTCTAGAGATTAGTGTGTAAACAAACTGTTTCACTTTATTACTGTATGTAAGTACCATACTAATTATTTTACGACACTAAAGATATACAAAATAACATTACAAAAATATAGGAGAACTACCTCTAAACCATTTAAAATCAATTTATAACGTTGTTTCCAGGAAGTGTTTTTATTTAATAAAAGAATTTGTATAAAAATATTTATAGGCAATTTAATTGTTTAAATAAATTTACATTATAAAAAATTTGCATTCCAATTTTTTATAATGTAAATTTATTTAAACAATTAAATTGCCTATAAATATTTTATAAAATTCTTTTTTTTTTTTTTTGCTACTTTTTATTTTTATTATAATTAGAATAAATATTGTTACTGTAAGGTTTGAAATTATATAAAATGTATCTATGTAAATAAAACTTTATATTTTGCACGCCATTAATAAAATATGGCTAAATTGTTGTAAACTAAAAATTTTATAAGCACACATTATATTTTAATATAGTAACGACCGGTTTAACGTAAGTGTATTTTTATTTATTTCTTTATTTAAGGCAAACAAACAGCTAAAATAATACATAATTATATACTTAAATATTAATTTGGTAGCCACTAGAATTTGCACAAAATAAAATACAAGTAAACAAAACACAAAATTAAACAAATATAAACAAAATTAAACAAATGTAAACAATATTAAACAAACAAATACTATTGAAAACCATAGCAACATTGTCAATAATAATGCTCAGAAGTTAATAAAACATTTTTTCAGAAAAACACATTATATGAAAATAATAAGTAGTAATAAAGTATATTTAGATCAAGACAGCTCGAGTACTATTTTTTTTTATACCACTGAGGTGGCAAACAAGCATACGGCCCACCTGATGGTAAGCAGTTACCGTAGCCTATGAACGCCTGCAATACCAGAGATATTACGCGCGCGTTGCCGACCCTGAAGAAACCTCTTTACCTCCCTTTTGAAGAACTGTAGTCTCTTGGAAAACCTCGGTAGGGAGCTCATTCCATAACCTGAGTATTCGTGGGAGAAAAAATCTCTGAAACCGCGTTGTACGCGACCATTGAGGCTGTAGGATATAAGGGTGAGAGTTTCGGACGCAATCCGTGATCCTTAGTCATGAGTGACTGTGGTGTGAGCTATTTCGCTCTAATTACACGACAGTTAAACCGATAGTTATTATATTAAACGATTTTCAAAGAT